CCCTTGTTCTCAGTCGTTTCTTGAGAGATCCATTGAATATCAACGAGGGAAGCGTGAGCGGGAGCGCGAGAGCGAGCGTCAGGGGTTATGGCAGGAGAGAAGAATCGAGAAGTGGGGCACTTTCCATTCGACCAAAAATTCCGAAATTTTCGAAACGGGGACAAATGGTACAGAAATTTCCAGGGACAAGTTTCAGAAAATCCGGAAATTGTTGAATTTCCGAAAAGCGAACCATTCAACCGAAAATTCTGGAACGGAAATTTCCAGGAAAATATGTTCGAAAATTTGGGTATACCTCACGAGGTTGTCCTCTTTTTCGGAAATCATGCAAATTCGCAATTTTCTATTCAGCGCTGGTTCTTTTGACCACGATGACAGCGAGTTGGACATCTCACGCAAGGATGACGGCGACGCGTATTCGAAAATTGAAATACTTTAGAATATTTCCACTTAGATGTCGAAAAATACTAGCAACAGCTAAATTCGTGAAGAAAGCGTTTTATAAAAATAATGCCCCTGTGGTGTACTTGTTTGTTTTGCATAGGTTGGCTAAGAAGTGTACAAAGATTTATAAGGCGTGTAAAACCATTGTACGACTCATTAGACCCTTTGTTTTGCGACTTTTTCGCTGCCGTTGTGGTTTGTATAAGGTCCATGCTGTTGTGGTCTATAAAAAGTCACGAATTCGACATATAAGTGTTCTGTTTGCTTCTATATTTGCGATTTAAACCTCGAAGTCAGTGAAAAATTCTAAGCGAACAAAACTGTGCGGCTTGTCGTTTTCCACACTGGAAAAGTCTGTACCATTCGCCCATGGAAATGTCCGGAAATTCACACCGGAATTTTTGGTCGAATGGAAAGCGCCCGGCGTTTCCTTCTCTCTTCTTCTTCCTTCCCACGATCCCCTCCGCGTCCACGAGGAGTTTCATCTAGACTTACTTGACTGGCCACTTAATAGACTCTAAAGAGCTGACTGGGGACGAGTCAGAACCCACACCCTTTTAATAGTGTGTTTTACACCTGTTTTCGTGTCCCAAAATAATAAAATGTGGTGGCCATGTTGGTGTTCCAAACTAATCCTGTAGGTGTTTAACTCTTTTTTTTATGTTAACAGTTTATTTTGTTTCCGATATATGTGCATGGCCGCGGCTGGCCGCGAGAGTGAAAGCTCGTGTATGTCTATTTTTGACAGAAAAGAAAACAGTAAAATTATCGACTTATATTTGCAAGTTCCTTAAGTTAATAAGAGACGAGATAACTAAACTAATGTGAACTCGAGACGCTTTGCTATCCGTTGGGACGATTTGATTATTTTACTTTTTGTTCTTATATGAAATTTAAACACGGAAGAGTGACGGAAATAGTTGTCGGATACGAAGCTGTCACGCGTAACATTTATTTGATGAACGTTCACACGTGTTGCTAGTCTATACGTGACCTGGCAGGCTTTTACCAAGTTTTATACAGATTATCGCTGTGTATTTAACTGTGTAATGTACTATGAACATGCATTTGCGCTGTCAAATAAACAACAATAACCTCGCTAGCTGGGGGACTGAAATCATCGCAATGGCAGATCAGATCCCAAGCGAACAATTCTTGACTAGAAGGAGACTCAGTACGATAGGAGAAGAAGACGAAGTTGGGAACAGAAGAACTGTGGCAGTGGTTTTTAAGACGCATCATAGATCAGCTGCGAGAAGGCCGCCTGAAAACGAACTGAAAGACTCCCAGGTTCAGTCCAACGTTACTGGTGCTAAGCTACGAAGGCGTCGTTTTGCTTTCACTGCTGCTTTACGCGCGGCTTACAGTGAAAGCTTCTCCGAATCGCCGCTCAAGGGGACCCCATGGGAGGAGGCTGCGCTCAGTTCCGCTTCCTTGGCCTCTGCTTCGTGTTCAACGCGGAGAAATCGAAAGCTGAGGCTGCAAAGAAGCGCAAAAGAAGAAGAATCCATTGACTTTTGTCTGAAATTATTTGGTTAGGATCTTGGGTTTTCGTTCATTTGTGGCTTCCTTGGCGTATCGGACTTTCAAGTTCTGCAGAAAGAAAAGCTTGAGAATCAGAATGTAATAAGATTATATGGTAATGCGGTAATATGAAGCAAGGATTTTATGAGACAAGTTTGTAATGGTATTGTCTAGAAGGCCGCTGCGTAAGGGATGTATCTCGTTGATTACCGATACTAAAAACTGGAACTTTAATTGAAAACGTTTGTGTTTAGGTAAGCGGTCGAGTAATCTTGACTTAATAAGTTTACATATTTTAACTCGTGCTAGAGTTTGTTGTAGGAATGTTTCCCGAGAAGTCGTAAATGATTTATTAGACAAAATGTTTTTAACTTAATTTTTTGTAGTTTGTGCTAATGTAATTTGCTGATTATGGAGTACAGTTATAGGCGTTATGATAATTAGAACTTATCTATAGTTCTCGGTAAAATTGCCAAGGAAAGCGAAAACTAACGCGAAGAATCCATGTTTGTAGATGATATATTTCGATATATTGTGATCACTCGAGTCGTGTTGTTTTTCGGGAGTGATTTCGATTTGGAGTAAGACCTGTTAACGTAAATCTTTCAAAGCTGTTAGAAATGAAAATTAAAATTACGGTCGATTGTTTGTTGATGTTTCAGTCAAGTTAACACGGGCCTTGCTTTCCACCTGCGCGTCTACACGTGAATCTCTCAGTCCGCAGGTTTGCCACAGGCCTGGAAATGGTCAGGGAAAAAAATTCATCAAGGTCAGGGAAAAGTCAGGGAACTATATTTTGAGTCAGGGAACTATATTTTGAGTCAGGGAAAATTGACATTTTGAAGAAGAAAAGTCAGGGGAAATTGAAATAATTTAACATATAACACCATTGAAGGCTGGAAGAAACATTTGGGGTGACTGTGATCTCAACGGTATTTTAAAGTGAGTGGAAAGGACGGTTGTAAGTTCACGCCAGAAGCCGCTACTATATCTGACATTTTCTATTTATTTGGTCGGGGAAATTGTATTTTTAACAGTCGCGCAATTTTGACAAGTGATGTCTTTAGCGGCCATGTCTCCCGCTTAACCGGGGTGAACTAGGGGTAATATTGGAAATTCATACATTTTGAGTTTATTTTCCCAGTTAATAAGTATTTTAATTACGCGAAAATTAAAAAAAAATAGAAAAAAAAAATTATAAAGGTTAAGAAAATGGATCAACCATCGATTGATAATAGGATCTAAGCAACGTTCGTGCATGTACGTTAATTCACTTTTATTTATATTCATTTTTCAAGGAGACCGAACGTGTTTGGCCGCTCTGTGCGCATGCTCTATTGAAGTGCATAGTATTTAGTTAGAAAGGCTCTCAGCACTCAATACAGTTGACGTACACTAAGCGGTATTGGGTAATTTTTCTTGATACTTATCACGTGCTTCTCTTTTCATCTTGAAGTTCTTCACGTGTTAAACAAAACCTGACTGGTTATCATGTTTGCTCAAGAGACGACAGGTTTGGCAGGTGCAAAGATCTGTTTGTTTATACACACCCCCACCCTTCAATCGAATGATTAGGAAAAACTATCTTTTCACGTGTTGTTGCGGTGTGGAATACGACTGGAAACTGAATAGTCCAATCCATTATTAAAAAACAATATTGAGGCAAAAATATATTTTCAAAAACAAATACTAAGGAAAGGCCCAGGAATGTACTTCCTTTTCCACTAGTGAGAAATTGATCCCCTTCCTTGCCCAATGTTAATGGTTGTAAAAATACTGCTCAGGTGGTTAAATATGATCAATATATTTCAAGCAAATTACTCCATTTTCTAGATTTCGTAAAACCATATAAAAAAAATTGATTGACAGTTATAATAATATTACTAGCTCTTAAGTTGAAATGTAATTAATTTTTTTGTAGTTAGATCTTGAAGAAACTCTTTTAACCTAAATTGTTTATTTAACTCTGTATTCCTTCTGCTAAATTTAGTTACTTTGGGGCTCCTACTTCATTAGTTCCATAAACTACTTAGGTGTCCCAAACTTCACACAATCAACCTTGTATTAAAACTATTTGTCTTCCTTTATCTCGTTTTTTTCTCTCTTTAACACTTTATTTTTTAATCACAATTGTAAATTATTTCATTAGTGCTATTTATCATCTTCTATACGTAATTTGTATATATTTACATGTATTCTATTTTGTTCTGACATCTCTGTAAACTTAATGTTTGTGAGAGTTTAAATTAAAATTGAATTGAATTGAATTGAATCAATACTATACTCAACCTTTGTAACTGTTGTCTCAGAGAGTGGAAGAAAGGAAGCGCTTATTTGGAATTTTGGCCGTCACGGAGGGCGCTTATTCTAAGGAGGTGCTTATTCGTGGGTATCTTTCATTCAAGTGGCAAATGTGACTGACAAGGTGCATACTCTAACAATTTTCGCTCCTGTAGAGTCTAGTTTCTGTACCTCCGAGGTTACGCCTTTCGCCGTGTGGTTCAGTGCTTTTCAACCGTCACGGAGATTTCGCTCGACTGAAAACCATTGACAAGTGTTTCAAATACACCAGTCGCAGGAGTACCCAACGACACTTTAACTGGAAATTTAATATGTGACTTCCCAAGCACTGATTCTGTGCTCCCACGTCAATTACCATTAATGATTAACTTTCCTGGGAAAAAAATATCCGCTCTTCACTGCTAGCAAGATCGACTTTATTTCATAAAACTCC